CACTCCTCAGAAGGAAGGTTGGGCAATCCTACTTCCGTAGTGATACTGCCTCGGAAACCCAAGGAGGGGTCGCTATGAGTCAGGTTTGACTCGACGGCACATAACAACAACAACAACAACAATTGTTGGAAAATATGGCCTTGGTGATAGAAATAACACAGGAGATTTCATGAAAGAATTTGGCAAGACCAACAACTTATCCATCACAAATACCTTTTTTCAACAACACAAACGGTGGCTACATGTGTAACTTCACCAGACAGAGTACACAGGAATCAGATTGACTACATATGTGGCAAGATGCAATGGAAAAGTTCGATATCTTCAGCCAAATCAAGGCTAGGAGCAGACTGTGGAACTAACCATCAAGTGGTGATATGCAAGTTCAAGTTGAAGCTGAAGACAATTAAAAGAAGTCCATGATAGCTAAAATATGGCCTTGACTACATCCCTCCTGAATTTAGAGATGATCAAAAGAATAAATTTGAGGCACTGAACAACAATGACCAAAAACCAGAGGACTGCATCAAGAACATCATCCATGACAAAAGCAAAAGGTCATTAAAAAGACAGATTCCAACAAGATGGCAGAATAGGCAGAAAGACTGCACAGACCTTCTTCAACAAATAAACAGGGAACCAATTAACACAGATACAGAAGATAATCCCTTCCTTAAAGGGAAGGATATAGAAGTGGACTAAACTCCAACTAATAGAAGAATTTACATGAAAACACAAGAAAAGGAGACATACAGAGCTGCAGTATGACAGTAATCCTGATGACCCAGACAGCGTGGATATTGCCGAGTGGTGGTAGGACCTAAGAATTAACCTAGAAATCAGCCCTGCTAACCAGAGACTGCATGGAGGACTGCTCTGGTGGCTGGTGAACAAAAGAGGAAGCAGCAAAGAGTAAGGCGGGCTGAGCTGTGGACTTTTGCCTGTCCAGAGGGCACACCATTGTGAATGCTCACAAGAGGTTTAACCATTGTGGATATTTAAAGTGAAAGCATTCTCCCAGATTCCAGGGACTTAAGAATAGGTTCCACTTGCCAGAAACTGGAAGGACATTCCAGATGCCAACAACTGGAAAGGTGCAATATTCTCCTTGTTACTCTTTTATTCCACACCTTCTTGGTAAACAGAGATGCGGCCATCCCTCACTCCCACCCATCTTCTAGGCCAGCGGGAATTCTATTCCAGCCTGTGTGCTTGGA